GCGTACTGAGAAATTGCCTGAGCAAGAGAATCAGTCACGTGGGAAGGGTCGGGCCCAGCAACTATTCAAACGACAACGAGCATAAGTGTCGCGCAATTACCAAGCCCGCATTCAACAGGGACAAGGAAATCGAGGCCATTAACGAGGCGAACGCGGAGTGTCAATCCATCAGCGCACCAATTAAGACTCCATGCGTTGACTACAGGAGACGGACGGATAATTATTGTACGCACGCGGATGACCGCTGCGAACTATAAATACCGTGCAATCTGTGCAGGTTTCACCCCTATCTGCGCATGGCTCCGATTATCCTAACATTACCTATGAGTAAGGATTCCCGACGGAATCCGAAAATTCAGGATAATAAACCTCTTGTTCCAGTGGTCGCATCTTCTTTTTCTGAACTGCTTCCTGGAACACGCATATTCACTTCTACGGACATTCTGCACTACCATTCCTAGCATGCTATCTCACATGGAAAGAAACGGAAATCCCCAATCGTAAATGGGACCTGTCTCCATAATAGATGTGGATTTTATATAAACTTCTAGATTTTTGAGTATTTTGCTAATCTATCCCTTGGTCGCAGTGAATGGAGTCCTTTTTACTGAAAACTTCGGTTGCTGCCTTCAAAATAAAGCGTATTTATCACACTTTCTTTCTCTCTCTCCAAATCAAAGCTAATAACTTTCATTTCGCTCTCAAAATCTTTCCAACCCGCCAATCGTCAATTTATGAGACAGTTGTGCTAGAAACCCGGCCGATACTACAGAGCGTCGTGATCAAGAATGACTTACTTTTACTGAATAAAATTTTGCCGACTGGTTTAAAAAGATAAGCGTTACACATTTAGAGACTGGATTTGTATCGATGATTGCGCACTATGTCCTATAAAAATATGCAAATGAACCAACGGAAGGTATCTTTAATTTGCATTATTAAGAATTGCGTACTCAGCAAACTATTACATGCTAAACGAACCAGAAACATATGAGTGCGTCGTCGCTACGTAGATGCGAGTATTCAGTTAAAATTTCCTTGAATTATCAAATTATTAGATTGAATGAGTTCACACTTCAATCCAATTGCATTCTGAAAGAAGTAAATCGTTTCTGGTATGATTATTTTAAAATTAAAACAGTGTTGTTTGTCTGCTATAGTAGATAATATAGAGCCAGCAAGTTCCACGTTCCCTGCCCACCTACTGTAACCTTTTCATATCAGAAATCTCGTTAAATGTTACTTCTTTCAGTAAAAAATAAATTCTTAAAAATATCTTAACAGCAGGTAAGAGAAGACAAGCCTTTTACGACGCGCTTACCCTTAAATCTCACTTGCCGTAAATGAACCGTCTGAGCGTTCACTCCTCGTGACGGGCAGATATCGAGCGTGGCCTGCGCAGACAGGTCTTCTGACTTTAATCGATCACCTAAGCCATTCGAAAAATGACCTTTGTTTAAATTGCGCTGGGCAGAAAGCCAGTGCACCGGAAGCCACAAGAATGTCGTCGGCACCCGATTCTAGAAAGTCATCACGGTCTATTTCCTGGGCTACAGATACGTCGTTTGAAAAGGTAATTAGAAAAATACCAAGGAACAGTGGAAGTTACAAAGAGGGAAAATGGAAGGGTGCGTTACGTACGTTTGAGGAACCGTTGCATTCCCTCCCAATAAGCAGGTCGCAGATGACTCCCATTGCCGAGAGTCACGTTCCCGTACAGGAGTACATAGCGTTTCCGGCTAATGCCGACCTGCTTACTGCACCAGCCAAGTCAAAGAATCTGCTCTACGGAATACTTAATTTACCCGCACGCATCCTAGCTCCAGATGGTAAGTTTTAAAGCCTTCTCGTGCTTTTTATACTTGATTACTTGTCCTGTTCAAAATTTTGTCGAAAAACGACTTTATCTTCAAAAATTCTTTCCCTGGAATAAATGTAAACGAGACTTAGGCGATGCAGTTTATCGGTTCTGCCCGTTTCAGACTTTCGACTTATTTCGGAAAACGTTTCAAAGCAGACAGGCGCTTTCAACCTTAATTTCTGTAAAAATTGAGTTAGATAAGTGTACCTCCCTCGTGAATACTGCGAGGCTGTACCATTTGATCTTAGTTTATTTGCTGTTCATAGCAGCTACGTGCATTTGCAACGCCTCTGCAAAGGAAGCGTAGTTATTAGTGCAGAACAGGTAACAGTGGAAGAAATGAAGGCTAAGCAATTAACTTGCTCGAAAAGTCTTCAAGTTATACCTCTAACTGTTGTTAGCCCGGTTGTTGCTCGTACTATTTGAACTGAAGTCCTGCTGACAAACAGTTTGAAGCAAAGTGATGCAGGATTTGCATCCAAAGTTAGAGTTTCTACGGCCCAGGGATCATCAAACTATCCTATCTTCGCATTGTTTTCCGACTACCTTCACCCCTTACTTCTTTCCAGGCGGAGTATTCACATCAAGTTTTAACAGGAGGACATTTGTCGATGGAAGTAGCATAGCGATCAGAAAAATGCATAACTATTTACTCTCTCTGTCTGGAGGCCTGCATTTCTGAAAAAAAGCGGTTCAGTTGTACCTAAAATCGTCGTCGAGGAGAATTAAGGAGTAAATGGTTGTTCTGATAACGTATCCGTCTGCATCACTTTATCTTCTTGAATTAAATCTACTGGTCAAGCGCCTTTCGGGTATCAGTCATCACTTGGAGCGACCCAGTCCATCCTTCTAACAGGTTTTCCTCGAACATAGATGCAAGAAGATACGTCCGGAGCTTGGACATATTCAAAACCACTGTTCCAGCTTTTAATGGTATACCATTTTGTCGTGTGTTAACAATTACTTTCTGAAGAACAGATTACTTTCCCTCCTATAATGAGGGCACAAGCTATCGACATTGAACGCGTCTTTTATGGTCTGGAAATTGCATAGTGTTCTGGGGATAAGCATG